TTTATTAGGTTTGGGGTTGTTTTGTTCTTGCCTTTCCAGAGTATTGAGTTGTACTGTCAAATTGTTTACATGTGCTTTTTCTGATTTTTTAATGTAGGCACTTAGAGCCATAAACTTCCCTCTTAGGACTGCTTTTAAAGTTTCCCTAAGGTTTTGTTGTGTTGTATTGTCTTTTTTGTTGAATTCCAGGAATTCTTTTTTCTTTCTTAATTTCTCCTTTGACCCACTCATTGTTTAGGAGTATGTTGTTTAATTGCCATGAGTTTGTGTAGTGACTAAGGCTTCTTCCAGTGTTGATTTGAGCTTTATTGCATTGTGGTCTGATAGAATGCATGGAATTATTTCAGGTTTTTTTGTATTTATTGAGGTTTGTTTTGTGCCTGAGTATGTGGTCAATTTTTGATAAATTTCCATGAGGTGCTGAGTAGAAAGTGTATTCTTTGGTGTTTGGGTGGAATATTTGAAAGATGTCTGTTAGGTCCATTTGATGTATGGTATCATTTAATTCAGATGTCTCTCTGTTTATTCTTTGTCCAGTTGACCTGTCTAATAGAGATAGTGGGGTATTGAAGTCCCCTACTATTACTGAGTTGGGGTTAATCTCTGGCTTTGAGTCCTATAGTGATGATTTTATGAATTTGGGTTCACCAGAGTTTGATGTATATATGTTCAAGACTGTAATATCTTCTTGGTTGTTTCTTTGATCTGAATGAAGTGACCCTCCTTATCTCTTCTGATTGGCTTTACATTGAAGTCTATTTTGTCAGATATGAGAATTGCAACCCCTGCTTTTTTCTTAGTGCCATTTGCTTGGGATATTCCTTTCCATCCTTTCACCTTAAGGTAGCGCTTGTCTTTGAAGGTGAGACAGGTTTCTTGCAGACAGCAAAAAGATGGATTTTGTTTCTTAAATTCACTTAGCCTGTGTCTTTTGACTGGAGAGTTCAGTCCATTGATATTTAAAGTTATTGAAAGATGTGTATTGGTTGCCATCATTTTGATCGCTGTTTGTGTTCTTTGTGCAATTTTGTGTTTCCTCAATTTTACCATTATTTATTTTCTTTCATTGCCCTTGGGGTATAGTTGTTCCTTTCTCCATTCTTTGTATTGCTTCTTTAAAGGGCTGGTTTTGTAGACATGTATTCTTTCAGGCTATTCATGTCATGGAAGATTTTTCTTTCCCCCTCAACTATAATAGATGTTTTTGCTGGGTAGAGTATTCTGGGCTGGCATCTATTGTCATTTAGAACTAGAAATACCTTGGTTCAGATCTTCTGGCTTTCATAGTTTGCATTGATATGTCAGCTGCAATTCCGATGGGCTTTCCTTTATATGTGACTTGTTTTTCTTTTGCTGCTTTCAATATTCTTTGTTGAAGTTTGCTTCTGCTTGTATTATTGGTGTGCCTTGGTTGTTTTCTTTTTGGTTATATAAAGCTGATTGGTCTGGGTTTCATGTTCTCTCAGGTTTTATTTTGGAGGGAACTAATGGCTTCAAATCAGCTACTCAGGAGCTCCCACAGAAGGCCAAGTCAGGTTCCAGTCAGGTACACTCAGGCTTCCTTCTAAGGTTTGGACCCCTAATAGTGGGAACTCAGAGCAAAATTTGGAAAGTTCCCTAAAGGGGGGGAATGTGATTTTGGGACTCTCAGGCAGTATGCTGAGCTCTCAGCTCCTATGGCAGAGGGAGGCCAGAACAGGCACACTCTGGTTGTCTGCTGAGATCTCAGTCCCTATACAGGATGGAGGACAGAGGGGCCCTCTCAGGCTGTCTGCTAAGGTCTCAGCCTTATCCTACCAGAGGGCAGAGGTCTGCCCAGGGGCTATGGGAGGGGCCTCACATAATCCCAGTTAGGGGGTTGGGTACAGCAGGATTTGGGGAAGCTCACCACCATGTGGAGGTAGGATCCAGGTGCTCTCAGGCGGTCCCCTGAGTTCTCAGCCCCTATGCCAGAGGGAGGCCAGAACAGGTACTCTGGTGGTCTCCTGAGGTCTCAGCCCCTACAATGGAGGTTGGGGCAGGCATTCTCAGGCTGTCTGCTAAGGTCTCAGCCTTATCCTCATCTCATTTTATCTCATTTTATCTTTAAAACATTGGTTGACCATAATAAGTTTTACTATTATCCCCGTTGTACAGATGAGGAAACTGAGGAACTAGCTCAGATCACACAGCTAGTACATGGGGGAAGAAGGTCTTGGATGACACTTTCTCTCATATGGGCTTCTGCTCTTCTCTCTGGTGGGGCTGAGAATACTTTTGTGCCTACAGTGTAGTTGAGGTGATAGATGCTACTGCCAGCATTTACACTGGGGACAGGAAGGGGTTTGTTGCATCTGACTGGTCCTGTCAAGGGGAAAAGAGGGGCTGCTTCCCAGAGACATGGGTTAGGGATGGAGTGAAGGTAGGTAACCAGTCTTGGTCTGTGACACTCCTTTTTCACCTCTGTCTCCTGTGCTGATTCTCAGGGGATGCTCAGATGCTCTGAGTGCATGGGTACAGAGTGTTTCTGGTGCACCTAGCACTGTTACCTTGTCACCCTACTTATTTATTACAAGTACATAAAGCAGCATTAGGTGCTATGAAGAGTTACCCAGGAGGCACATATGACAGAGACAATGTAGCTGCTACCAGAGGGAAAAAGCAAAGCACTGAATTAAAAGGATGTCAAGAAGGACCTAGGCAGGAAGTACAGTTCCTGATGTATACCCAGGACCAGGATAAGTGTTTGAGGATGGAGTACATATGAGGTTGACACTAAACGGCTCCATTTGTTGCAGCTTGGACCATGACAACCTGCCATGTTCTAATACATGGCCACTGGAAGAGCTGTTAGCTTCCAGGTCTGGTGGTCTGGGCTCTGGTACCACTAAGTGTTGAGTTCCACTCCCTGTCCTACCGTGTATCACTGACAGAGCCCAGCAAGTTATTGCCTTACCGCGCCAAGGCTATTTCTTACCTTACACATATAACCTCAATTTTTCAGAGTTGGTGAGAGGATCAAAAAATGTAAGTTGTGTCAGCTACCTAATCAGGACGAATTGGGGGGGGTGCGAAGTCCTTGCAGGGCTGTGGCACCTAGCTCCTGGAGCCTGACCACCTCCTAACCTGGGTCTTCACTCTCCTGAGGATTCTATGGGCACCTATGACCTTTCCACCTGAACCTTTCCCACTTGGGACAATCCCCTGGTGTCTGCTGCTTGCAAGGGACAAGTACTGAATGCCAGACATGGTCTTCTTTGATGGCTCTAGAGAGACTTGAGGGTTATCGATATGGTGGGAGTTCTAGAACAATGAGACAGTTGACTGGGAAAGGCACATGGTATCTTAGAACCCCCTTGTTTGGTTGACATGAGGGTAGCATATGGTTCATTGGACATGAATATCATAGCTCCAGGCTGCTGCTTATATGTTTGTTATAGATGGTAGTGCTCAGCGGCTTCTTCATGAAAGCACTTCAGACAGTGACTAAATTCCTTCTCAGTCTTATCTTATAAAGATGATATCTAGAATTGTAAGCAAAGTTCTTTTCTTTCAGTTCTGGAACTTGAACCCAGGGCCTCGTGCATGCTGGATACATTCTATCAACTGAGCTATATATTCAGCTTTGAAATTCTTAATTTTTAAAACTTTCAGCAACTGATTTGATTTTCTCTTGTGTGCATATGCACATGTGCATGATAGAGGTGGACTTTGGGTGTTTTCCCCCTTCACTGTCCACCTTGTTTACTGAGGCAGGGCTGCTTGCTGAACCTCGAAGCCAATTCCAATTTTGCCAATTCCTCTAGTCTAGCTAACCAGCTTGCTCCAGTAAGTACTGGGATTTTAGATGGACTGATGCACCTGCTAAGACTTCTGTGGGGTTGCTGGAGATCTGAACTCCCATCTTCATGCTTGTGCTGGCAAGGGGTTTGTCCACTGAACCATCTCCATAGCCCCAGCTGTTTTGGGTTTTAAAAACCATGAGCCCAAGGACTGGGGTATAGCTCAGCAGCAGAGCACTTTTGTCACAAGCCAGAAGCCCTAGATTCAATCCCCAGAACTGCAAAACAAAACAAAACAAAACATGAGCACAAACTGAAATAAAAACAGTGTGGACTAGATGAGGTTCACAGGCTCCAGTTTGCAGATACTGCATCAAATTGATGGAGGCTTAATCTACATCCTTTGGTCCTTATCATCTTTGGTCCTTGTAAAGCAGCTGACTTTAGACCTAGACTTCACCCATGCATCAGCTGGCCCATTCTGACTTTGCCTTTTCCTCAGAAGAGCCAGAAATATGACCATCAGGAGTCTATATCCCCACCCCCCAACAGTTCAGCTTGTTTCCAAGGCCTCTGGGGACTTTTGTGGTCCTAAGCTGCTGCCACCACCAGGTGAATATCTTTAGTCCTAAAGGACAGCTCAGAGATGAGCATTAGCAACATGGACTGGGAACCCATGAGTGAGGTGTATTCTCTTTGCAGTGGGATGCCCTAATATGGGATCAGGAGTAGGACCTCCAGTCATGGTTCTGCCTAGACAGTTGTTAGTATGGATTCTATGTCAGGCTATTGATTCCCTGTTTACCCTGGGCCAGGTGCTCCTCAATGCAACATGCTGTAGGCACCAAACGAACTCTGAGGATGCTTACAGAAAGAGTGTCAAGGCACAAAGAAGTGAGGTCAAACTGCCCACAGCTAGTGGTGAGTGGCTTCAATCAGTCTGCAGACAGTAGGCCCAGTGAGTGATCAGTCCCATTCTGCAAACTGTGGGTGCTTCCTACCCCCAACTGGATGGCCAGCTGGGGTGAGGTGGGCGTGGACGCCCGGTCCTCCCACCACCCTGCTTCCCTGGCTTCTCGTGGGGGCACGTGGAGGGTCCTCGGGTCGCCTGTGACTGTCTCCCAGCAGCTCCGGCCTCCCGCGACGCCAATCCCTGGGCGGCCTGGGGCCTGGTGGGGACGGCGGCGCCTGGCAGCGGGGGATTTGGGCGCGCCGGCCGGGCAGCCCAGTCAGGGGTGGACCTGGATCTTACGCCCGCCCGCGATCCCGGCATGCCCCGCTGCAGGCCGCCCTGGGCTGCGCTCGGATTTGGCCTTCGGCGGGACACGTTGGAGAGCCAGGGCGCCCCGGAGCGGCAGCCGAGGTGGGTGAGCGGCTGGCTGGGCAGCGGGAGGGCGCAGGGCACAAAGAAGACCCCGCTTTTTTCCACCCCGCCAGCCCTGGGCAGCGTGCAAGCTGGGGAAGTTAGAGCGCCGAGCGCCCAGTTCCCAGTCTAGTCCATTTCCTGGGGCGGCGGGCACCGGGAAGGGGGAAAGGGGAAGGGGAGAGGGTGGGGGTGGGGATTAATCCTGTTGAGTTTAGAAACAAATGGAGAAGGGAGAGTGGGAGGCAGATTGAGAAAGAGAGAGCGAGAGAGTGAGAGAGGAAAAGTAATTGAGAATACACAAAGAAAAGCGCACAAAGAAACGCCCACACAGACAAATCGCAGAGAAAGGATAAGGGAAAGTTCAAGAATCTGTCTCTGTCTCTGTCTCTGTCTCTGTCTCTGTCTCCCTCTCTCCCTCTCTCCCCCCCTCACCACTCAGAACATAATGGAAGAGAAGAAAGAGGAAAGTAAGGGATGGCTTTAGAGGTATGGAGGCACAGGAGAGAGGAGGAGGGAGACCTGAAGAAAGGGATGCTGGAGGAAAAAGTCTAATGGAGAGAAACACAGAGTAAGAGGAGGAAAGGACAGGGCCACCGCTGAGAGACAAGTAGGGGCGGTACAGAGAACCACAAATCTAGGGAAACTGAGGCAGACCCTTCTCTCCCCCTCGGCTCCCCCCCCCAAAGGTACAGAGATGAAAAACCTCTCTGAGATAGCACCCTGGAGACCTCTTAGGAGTTTTCCTTGGCACCTTAAGCTAGCAAAGTCCCCACCCTGTCTTTCAGGCACTCTTACCCATCCCTCAAAACCCAGTTCAAGCATCCCCAGCAATGTGAAGATGTTTTTCCAGAAAGTGTTGTGAATGCAGTCTCTTTCCTGTGCAAGTCTGCACACAGCCCAACCACATGGAGCTGAAGTGGTTTTTCTACATGTCTTCTTTCCCACCAACTCCTTAAAGATGAAGGGATGGGGATGTGTTATTTTATCTCCAGTCTTCAGAACCCAGCCCAGTGCTTTTTGCATTGTAGATGATTAATATATGCTCACTGAATAGCAACCAAGAATTTGAATTCTGTGAGACGATGCACATAGACTTAAATGCAAATAGAGGTGATGTACCACCCAGGGGTCATAGAGGCTCCTAAGTCAGAGCACTCCTTTTTACAGGTGGAGAAATGAAATCCAGAGAGGGGAGACCTGCTCAAAGGGAGGCAGATAAGAGGCCTACCATAAGAGAACACTGTGAATGGCTACTCCCGTGAGATGCTCTGGTCTGAGTTTAACATATATATTGAATAACATTTCAGTAAGTGATGGGTGGTCTATATGATGGTGGTCCCATAGGATCCCATCATCCATCTAGTGACATCATGGCCATCTTAGTTTGTGTTAGTTCACTCTGGGTGTTTGTTTGACAATGACCACATCACATTTCTCAGAACAGACCCATGTTGTTAAGCTCTAAGTGACTGTAGACATGAAAGCACCCCCCCAAATGGTGACAGGCAGTGAATACTTTAACACCATTTATAAGTTTCTGACACTGACAATCAGAATCCGTTACAGAGTTTCAATCTTTCTTCTTTAGAAAGGAAAAGAAAGGTGAATACGTATTCCAGTTGAGGTGAGTGGCTTTCTGCTTGCCAGCAAGGTAGACTTGGACAAATTCCTTAGCTTTCTGGAGCCTCAATTTCCTTTTCATAAAGTAGACATGCCAACATCTGCCTCTTATGGTTGTTGCTGGACAGGTTAACATACATGGAGTGTCTGGCACAGAGGGGTTTTTCAGTAAGTGAAGCCTCACCAATACGTATTCCAGTTGAGGTGAGTGGCTTTCTGCTTGCCAGCAAGGTAGACTTGGACAAATTCCTTAGCTTTCTGGAGCCTCAATTTCCTTTTCATAAAGTAGACATGCCAACATCTGCCTCTTATGGTTGTTGCTGGACAGGTTAACATACATGGAGTGTCTGGCACAGAGGGGTTTTTCAGTAAGTGAAGCCTCACCTTCTGCTTCTGTCATGGGTGTTTTCATACACCTTTTTTTTTTTTTTTGTAGATGTGAAATCATCAATGCCAGTGCATATGTTTCCTTTTGTTCCAGGCTTCAAAAGCCGTCCTGGTACAACTGGGAAGTAACCTTTTACCATAAAGGAGAAGGCAGATTTGGGCATGGTATAAAATGCACCTTGCCTCTCTTCAGGCCCTCAGGTCTCCAGGTGACTTGAAGGAACCTAGCCACCCTTTCCAATCCCATTTGCCATTTCCATCAGGTAAGACCCAGATGTCCCTATCTTTTGCCCTGTCTTTACCAGGTCTGCTTGCCCTTGTGTTCTCTCCAGCTTCCGCCTACTCAGAGAATGTGAGTGGACTGTAGTTGGGAGCCCTTAGAAGCATGGAGACTGTGGTGATCGTCGCCATAGGTGTGCTGGCCACCATCTTCCTGGCCTCATTTGCAGCCTTAGTAGTGGTTTGCAGGCAGCGCTACTGCCGGCCGAGAGACCTACTGCAGCGGTATGATTCCAAGTGAGTAGGCCCATGGTGGGAAGAGAGGAGAGAAGGGCACTGACAACAGGAAAGCAGAGGAGCAGGAACAGTTTAGTGCTGGGCCACCTCAGCTCAATGTTTTCTCTCTTGCATGGTACTGGTGGGCCATTCTCTATAATGACCTCAGAGCTTAAGAACATTCCTTAAGCCCACCAGCGTCTTGTACAAAATCTTTCTCTGTCCACTTAGCCATTGAGAAAGTCACTGAACATGTTCATCAATGAAGGCACCATCTATGCTGGCCACCTCACTTGGCAAGGGGATGAGCCAAATCCCTTTCCAGCCAATAACCTGGGAACAGAAATCAGATGTCTGCACTGAGCCACACATCTGAGCAACAGACACTCCAGGTCATGCGGTCCCAGCATAGGCATGCCTTGCTTTGCACAACAGATTTCTTCATGATGCACTTAGAAGTGAAATATATTCTGTAAGCAAAGTCAGATTAAGGATTTTGAATTGAGAGATCCATAGGAGACGTTTGCAACCAACCTTTAGTTTCTGTTGTTCCTTTATTGTAATTCTATCAGCATCTCTGGTGACTGGTTAATAATTTGTGAATACCCATTTATGTGTCCCAGGAAGGCTTTGCAAAGAATGCTTTGGCAACTGGAATTCTACAGAACTCTGCTGTAAAGAAGGAGGTGGTTTTACTCAGAGGGGTGGTCCCCAAGAGTGATTCTGTATACCAGTTAGGGGGTACAGGTAGGCTTGGGTGATGGGAATTTCAGCCTTTCCATATGAATGTAGGCTTGAAAGGAAAGGAAGTGATAAAAGGAGATTATTTTATCCTGCCTAGGACATCTCTATAGTCATTGGTCCTAGCTCTGTTTTCTCCAGTAGCTCATCTCATTCTGCTTCGCTTGCATTTTGGTCTGCCTCCATGACCTGTTGTTTAGCTAAGGGCCGCGCCTTGTGCTGCAGGCCCACCATAGTCAGATCTGTATCCAGGACAAGTGGCCTCTGCCCTAACTGACCTGTGCCTTTCATCCTTTTTGGAGGGGGTGGAGTGAGTAGGTAGGTATATAGATGTGGGTATATAGATGTTGTCACTATAACAAATACATGAGATAACTTAGTGCAAAGAAAAAAAGTTTATTTTAGCTCATGGATTTAGAACTGGTCTATGATCAAGTGGACTTGCTCCTTTTAGACATTTGATGATGCTGTCAGATGGGAATGTGTGTAGTGAAGCAAACTGCTCACCTCATGACCAGAAAGCAGAAGAGGAATAGGAGGGGGCCAACCTCTTACAATCCCCTTGAGGGTCCAATCCTCAGAGGCCTAAGGACCTCCCAACAGGACCCTCCTCTTAAAGGACCCAGCACTTCCAATAGTGCTATCCTGCCTTTAACACATGGGCCTTTGGTAGACATTCAAGTGCCAAACTATAGCAGTTGGCTGCATTAAGAAGGGGGTCAACCACAATCACCTTTTAGTCATTGGTCCTAGCTCTGTTTTATCCACTAGCTCATCTCATGCTGCTTCGCTTGCATTTTGGTCTGCCTCCATGACCTGTTGTTTAGCTAAGGGCCGCGCCTTGTGCTGCAGGCCCACCATAGTCAGATCTGTATCCAGGACAAGTGGCCTCTGCCCTAACTGACCTGTGCCTTTCATCCTTTTTGGAGGGGGTGGAGTGAGTAGGTAGGTATATAGATGTGGGTATATAGATGTTGTCACTATAACAAATACATGAGATAACTTAGTGCAAAGAAAAAAAGTTTATTTTAGCTCATGGATTTAGAACTGGTCTATGATCAAGTGGACTTGCTCCTTTTAGACATTTGATGATGCTGTCAGATGGGAATGTGTAGTGAAGCAAACTGCTCACCTCATGACCAGAAAGCAGAAGAGGAATAGGAGGGGGCCAACCTCTTACAATCCCCTTGAGGGTCCAATCCTCAGAGGCCTAAGGACCTCCCAACAGGACCCTCCTCTTAAAGGACCCAGCACTTCCAATAGTGCTATCCTGCCTTTAACACATGGGCCTTTGGTAGACATTCAAGTGCCAAACTATAGCAGTTGGCTGCATTAAGAAGGGGGTCAACCACAATCACCTTTTGTGAAACCCTAACAGTGACTTTTCCTTCCAGACCTATTGTGGACCTCATTGGTGCCATGGAGACTCAGTCTGAACCTTCTGAGTTAGAGCTGGATGATGTGGTCATCACCAACCCCCACATTGAAGCCATTCTGGAGAATGAAGACTGGATTGAAGATGCCTCGTAAGACCTTGGTGACCTTTTGCTTTTCTCCAGCCTGTTGGAGATAGCAAAGGGGCTTCTGGGTTCATTTTTCACAGTACTCCGCTATGCACCCAGGGCTCTTCCCCTGTCTTTATCATGGGGGACATCAGTATAGGATGTGACAGTATTCATCCTTGCTCTACTCCTCTCATTTTGTAGACCTGAACATACAGGCAGTTAGGTCTGTGGCAGAGATTATTATGATGTCCCCCAGTGTGGCTGGGTCATCCTTGTGCTGTTCAGGAATTTTAAGTCAGGCTCTATGGCACAGCCTTTGTCTTCAGTGTCCCACAGTGGGCTCTTTGTCCAACAGGAGCCTGTGTACTTTGAGACATGTGTGCTGCTTCCTTTCCTTATTCCTTTAGCTATCCATTCACTGGTGTACATTTATGGGACATCTATACAGGACATGGGACCAGGTCCTGCCGATAGTAAAATGATGGGGAGACAGAATTGCACCAAATACGTCTTATCCACTGGCTATACCACTGAAGAAAATAACTCTCCTTTACCCAACAACCATTAATTACCAGTAAATCCGTATGTAACATGGGGCCTTGTAAGCTCCTCCCTTGAGAGGGTGCCTTTTGATTTGGATTTGCTGGGAGAGGAGCTCAGTAGGCATTGCCTGGAGGTGACACCCACTGTGCCCACTTGGTGCTGGATGAAGAGCAGATGGGGCAGCTAGAGGGAGGTGGACTCTCTAGAGCAGCACTGACACCTTCGTCTTGTCTCCTCAGGGGCCTCATGTCCCACTGCATCGCCATCTTGAAGGTAATACTCTGATTTCCCTGTGAGGTCAAGGGCAGTGACCTGAGCAAGACAGAGCTGAAAGCAACCTCAGGAAGCACACCAGACCCTTGCAAGCAGCTTTCTTTAGCCTTATACTGGGGTTGCTACTGTCTGCTTCCATTTCTGCCTAATGGGTTTGTATTACTTTAGGATTCTCAAGACCCTCTTTAGGCTTCATTTTATCTGGTCTTCTTTAGCACAATGACCTGTGGAAAGGACAGCCTGGGGGTCACCAGCCACAGTTTCACCAACTATGGAGAAGCTGTGTGCCTAAGGCCAGGTAGCTGCCAAGGCAAATGAGGCTTATATCCTCCCTGAGAACCTTCTTTTATTAGCGGGGCACTCAGTCCAGAGTGAGTCCTGTATTTGGATTTCATTTATTAGAAAGTCCTCTCTGGCTGTCTTTGGCTGTGACAGTAGTCAACCAAATGGTACTATCAGAGTTTTAAAAAAAAATCCAGGGGCTGGAGAGATGGCTCAACAGTTAAGAACACTGGTTGTTCTTGCAGAAGACCTGGGTTTGAATCCTAGCACACACATGGCAGCTAACAACTGTCTGTAACTCCAGTCCCAGGGGATCTGACAGCCTTTTCTGACCTCTGCGGGCACGATAAGGTGCACTTACATGTAGGCAATACACGCATGCACAGAAAATAAAAATAATAAATAATTTTTAAAAATCCAAACTACTAGTATTTCCATTTGGAGGCAGACTTTACTCTTTGAAGGCCTGAAACCTTTGGAAAATTGCATCCAGTTTACATTTTAGCAGTTTTCATAGTTTTAGCATTGGCTTCCCAGCTCTTGCCAGATATTATCCTATGTAGTAGAACAATAATAATATGCAAATATTTGGCCAAATGCAAATATGAATTTCTGTACTCCAGTAACCTTATCTCTTTGTCTACTAATTATGCAATATTTCAAAAGAGACAGCTTTGTTTTTTCTCTAGAGTCATTCTGTACAGGATATTAAGAAGCCTTTTATCTGCCTCTCCTTTGGCTATCTGTTGAGACAAAGAAAGCCTAGTAGGAAAGTGTTGCCTCAGAGTGCAGGAAGTTCTTGGATATATCAATATGGCTGCAGATACAGATATGGTTATGGACACAGATAACTAGGTATAATGACTGCAGTAGTAAAGGCATGTTACATTTCCCTTCTCCCAGCCACTATGTGTCCTGGGACGGGGCTTGGACCTCTGCCCTCCTCCATCAGAAGGGATCTTATTGGATTGGGGGCCAAGGATAAAGGAAAGGGCTTCTATGCTTCCTCTTGAGGCCTTATAATGCCTTTGCTCCATCATCTGCCCTGGAATCCCCATGGTGGGAGTTTGAAGGAGAGTGTGGGGCTTCCTCCCAGTGGCCTCTTGGGATTCTTCTGTTTTCTAGCTCCAGTACCAGCAGGTGATGGGGACTTCTTTGCAGCAATAGAGGCATGCTTAGTTTTAGCATGGAAGAGTACAGAAAGGGGCAGTGAGCATTGGGGGTGGTCAGCAGTGCTGGTGGAAGAGGAGGAGCCCTATGTATCATTATTTTGCCTTTCCCCTGCTTTTTTCCAATGCCCTTTCATCATCACTTTGTCAAACATACTAGTAATATACAGCCTTCAAAAATGGTTAACATAAGCTGGGCGTGGTGGCACATGCCTTTAATCTCAGCACTCGAGGCAGGGGCATGTAGACCTCTGAGGGATGGAGGCCAGGCTAGTCTCTATAGTGAGTCCAGGCTAGCTGGGGGTACAGGGAGACTCTCTCAAAAAGACCAAAAAAAAAAAAAAAATTAACATAAGCAAGCACCATATTAGAGAATGCGGTTAAAGGGAAGTTACCCTTTGTCCAGCTCCATCTCTTTAGGCACTCCACTGGAGATGTTGCCCTTTTGGAAGACTAAACCATGAGGTGAGAGAATAGAAAGTTTTTTACCCCCCAAGGAAAATGGTGAAATGGGAACACATGATTTTTCTTAGATGGATTATTTCAGCTTAGAGCTCACTGATCTGAAGTTCTGCCCTTGATCTGAGTCC